GAACTGTAAACGCACAAGGACTCTCCAGAAAAGACACCACATTAAATCTCTCCTCCACACCCAAAACATCCACATCCTATGCATCGCAGACACACTCTCCAAAAATCCTCTGAACTTCTTCGGTTATAACACAATTCACCGTCCAAAAGACGAACACTCCCGTGGCATCGCGATCTTTATCAAGCATGGACTTGCACACAAAAGATACAACCTTCCCCCCAACCTCCCAAAACTAGATTAAAACCCGGTAACGTCACGATTATAGCATACTATTATCATGTCCTCCAAACTATTTCTAGAGACATAATCGAATACGCAGACTCTCTGCCCAAAGCTTTTCTCCTAAGAGAATTCAACTCCAGGCACACTCAATTCGGAGACACAAACTCGAACGCTAACGGTAGACTTCTTTATAACTTTCTTCATGACCAGAACATTTATAGACCACATCCTATGCTCAGAGAGCCTTGTGGAAACGGCTGATGATCAGGCATATATTGGCGACACTATCACCTCGGATCACCACCCCCTACTCGTCAAAACTACACTCAACCTCCAAACCCCTTCAAACCGGGAAATCATCTCCTTCAAAAACCATAAATCCACTGCCCTAAAACGTTTCCCATCCCTTGTTACTCAAAAACTTTCACTTCTAAACAATCCTCCTCTCAATCATCCCAGACAAGTCAACTCACAGATTGACGAAATTCAAAAAATTATTAACGACTCTGACGACATAGCCACCCCATCTTAAACTAGAAGAATAGACCTTTTACCTCTTCTACCTTAGATAATATCCCTCATCAATACTAAATGGAAGCTACACAGAAGCTATGTACGAACCAGAGACCCGGCACTTAAAACTGAGTGGAACCGACTTGACGCCCCCGTCTCTTCATCAACCAATTCACTCAGAAAAGGTGGACAGAGGTGACGAAAAACTTAAACTAGAGAAACGGATCAGCTTTCTGGCATAAATTCAAAGTACTCACGGAACAAAACCGGAAAACTGTCAGTTACCTTGAGATTGACGGCAACATCATTTCCAATCCTTCAGATAAAGCAGAAGACTTCCGAAAAAACCTAGAACGTACATACCAACTTCTGAACGATATTCCCTTTGAAAATCGTCCCCCTTGACCCAAACCGTCCCCTAAGATCCCGTCAGCGAAAAAAACATCCTCCAAGCCATCCACCGTGGTAGAAATACCGACCATGGACCTGACTCAATAAAACTCCGAATCCAAAAAAAATTTCTCTGGCTCCGCTCTGATACCCCTCAAACACGTCCTAGACGCATGCTTACATCATGCATACTTCCCATTGGCCTGGAAACAGGCAAATACTATTTGATCCCCAAACCCCAAAAAGATCTCACTGAACCCGACTCATATAGACCCATCAGTCTCGTCAATGTCCTCTGAAAACTTCTAGAAAGACTAATCAGTAACAGATTAAATAACTTTATTCATGGCAACATCATCCCTCCCCACCAACATGGCTTCAGACGCTAACACTTCATCCAAAACGCACAAATTGAACTAAATATACGCATTACCCAAAACATTAATTCTTCCTTCGGTACTGTCGCTATCCTCCTAGACATCGAAAAAGCATTCGACAACAACTGATAGGCGGGCCTGATCTGGAAACTTCAAAACTTCAAATCCGACTTCCTCCTCATTTCATCAGACTAGTAGACTCTTATCTTACCAACCGACAAATCCGCTCAAAGTCGCCGAAGCCCTCTCCTCTCACCCCCAAAGCCAGAGTTCCCAGGGCTCAGTCCAACAGCCTCTCTATTCCTAATCTACAATAAGCAGATGACACAGTCCTTCACTCATCCGCCACCATTCATATAACCGAATAGATATTACCCCAATCAACTTGAGATTTCAGGAACTCCAAGGCCGATCCGCATCGTGAACCATGAGAAGACACAACACCGCGGTCATCGGCACCCTGACCACCCCCTGGATGCCCCGCGAAGGCGCCAAGAGGATACCTCGGAAAAAGCTCCTGTTCCCCCAATCAGACTCCTGGAATTAGTGAAAGATCCTTCGGAGCGGATCCAGAACATCCTATAGGAATATCTATTGGCTATCAGATAGCGGACAGTACACGGCCTAACACCCTGAAGACTCAACCACATCACCCCTGGCTTAACACAAACCGATACCCCTCGAACAACAACCACAGCTATGGACCAGGACACCCTAACAAACAAAGGAAAAACACACAAACACTAACATAAATAACTGTAACCCTGAAGACGCACAAGCCAATAGTAGTAGGGCCCCTTATACATAAATGTACATTGTAAATCACTGAAACAACCTCAAAAAAACTTGATCAGCAGCACAGTACCCCAGTAAAAGTTACTGTGACCAGACTCTAGGGACCGACAGTCCTCGCTGAGGAATAGGTAGATTGAAACTCAAACTGAGTAGAGCCTTGATGATGATAGCACGACCAGCTGTCGAAAGCGCTCACATATAATTAAATAAGAGGTATAAAGCTTCAACTCCTTTTTGTAACATATATTAATATTAAAATACTAAAAATAAAGGAAAATTAGTTGCATCATTAAATATCATTAAATCTTATCATCTAAGCTTTGCAACCTGATATGTCTCAATGACGCTCGAGTAAATCCCCATTTTGCATCGTAGGCTCCCCTGCTATCAAAAATATTAGCTTCCATGTCCTTATGATAGTCAACATTGCAGTCCTCAAATTTTTTTCCACAAAATTCCAAAGAACCAAACTTGAGATGTAGATCCTTATATATAGTGAAACATAGTCTCTGTGTTTCAATATTCGAATGCACCCGAATCTTATTCACTGGTATCACTTTTTCGCATTGTTCACCATCGCTATTGCAATCTCTACACAGGAAAAAGTCTGCGTTGATATCACACCCGTTATTACTATTAGTACTTGTCCAAGGACACCACATTTTGAACAGATAACAAAAATTTCTAGTAATTATAAATGCACCAATATCGAATTCCAACACTCAAATCGCGATCAGTTCCTGAACTGAACATTGACAACACAATAAAGATTACTTCGACAATACTTCATTTAACACAGTATGGTAAGATGAACACAGAAGAAGGGAAGGACCTGATATTTTTTGTTTCTTGAAAATTCCAATTTCGACAGTCGAAATTTCACTTTAATTGTGATCTCCTAGCTTTTCGTGGGCATAAAATAATACTCTAGACAGGTAATAACTAATTATAATGGTGGATTCGAGGAATTGAAATTAAATTGTTGAGGGTGCAAAAATTGACTGTGAACAAACGTCACTCAAACAGCAGGGCGTAGTCGAATGAGAATCGGGTGACAACATTTGTCCCTCCTGACCATAAAGTCGCCTCGACTTCTACTCATGTGTCTCGTAATTCATCTGGTATTTAGGTCTCTTGGCCTGCCTTCTGGGTCGAAAATCTTCAACCGGTTCGTTATTCGAATTTTTTTCAGCCTGTTTTTCTAATTCCTGGTTGCCTTCAGAGGCTGTATCACTTTCCGTCTCTTCACAAATTTTGTATAGCTTTATCTATAGTGGTGAATCGTCGACGTACTATTCCTTCTATGCTGGCCACTCTGTAGATATTGCTAGGTAATAATTTTACTATGGTTAATTGTCTTCCATATTCAATTGAATCCTTGTTGGTTATATTGTATTTGTCGGCTCAAATTCAATCAGAACTATATCTTCTACTCCATACTTCAGGCCAGTGTATTTTGTCTGTAATGTAGTTGCTCATTGATTCTGCTCATTACCTTATCTTGGAGACCTGAAAGGTACGATTCGAACCAAGTGTTCGTTACACCTCTTTCTATGATTTTTTGATAATCTTCCATTTGCAAAAGCTAGAAAGTATGCACTTTCCAATAGGGTTTAATTTTTGTTTTTCTTTATTGCCACGTGTGAAAAAAATTGTTATAGAGAAGTTGCTGAGGATGTCGGTATATCGGTTGCCTCATGCTGAACATTTTTTTTGTAAATTTCGGCATGGAGCGTGTGTTAGCAAAAATCATTCCAGAATTGCTGAATTTCGACCGAAAAAACCATCGCATGAGCATCACGCAGGAATTGTCGAATGACGTCAACTTTTATTCATATTTACTTCAAAGGGTCATAACTGGTGACGAAACATGGGTATATGATTGTGACATCGGAACCAGAGTCCAGTCGTCCAAATGGAAGAGCCCAGGAGAGCCAAGACAAAAATAAGCACACCAAGTTCGATCAAATGTCAAAGTTTTACTCACTGTTTCCTTTGATCACCGTGGCGTGGTGCATCAGGAGTTTTTACCACATGGTCAGTAAGGAGTATAATCTTGAAGTTATACGCCGCTTTCGAGAAACAATAAAACAGTTCATGACTTTTCCATCGCGATAATGCCCCTGCTAACTGGTCATTGCTTGTTCGTGACACCGTAATTATGCATCAGCCACCGTATTCACCAGAGTTGGCCCCCTGTGACTTGCCTGTTCCCAAGATTGGAGAGAGCCATGAAAGGACGGCGTTTTGCGACGATTGAGGAACTACAAACCGAAACGCTGAGAGAGCTCAAAGACATACCAAAAAGTGCATATCAGAACTGCTTCGGGAACGTGTGTATTATATCTGAGGAGGACTACTTTGAAGAAGACAAAATAGAAATTGATGAACCAATAAATATTTTTTGAGAATAATTGAAATTCACCTTGTTTTTTGAGCAGACAGCGTATATCAATACCATAATCATCACTTTTGAAAAATACATAGTGAGTGTATTTATTACTTAATTAGTCCCTGGTGATAACTGGAACGAAAAAATGTGATAATTGTTTCTCAATTTTACAACTTGGTTTGTACTCCCATCTACTGAAAATGTTTCGAAACCGATTGCCATGAAGCAGATAACTTCCAACAACTACTGCTTCAGTCATAAAGTTTACCGTATGATGTCGTAACCTTTAGATTTAAGAAAACTTCAGACACCATTTTGGTGAACAATTTTTATTTCCAATGATACATAAAAGTTCACAGAAATATACACTTCATTGATATAAAAAACAAAGTTGATATATAGTTATGATGATTCAAAGTCATTTTCAAAAGGTTTTACTGGAAAATTTATAGATTTCATGAGGGACTATCTCCAATGGTTAGATGCATAGCTCTCAAAATAACATCTATTTCTTTCAAATTTTTTATGGTCAGTTTATATATTTTTCCTTCCTGCAACTCATCAGGTTCATCTTTCAACAGTTCAGCTGATTCGGTCAAAATTTCTTTAGATTCCTGAAAACAAAAATTTGATTTTTAATGGGTTAATTGAATCAATATGTTGACATGAAAAACAAACGCTTTTGATAGTAAGATTTAGAAAAGAATAATTTCATAGTAATAATATTGATTAGGTAAGTTCAAACTTGATGAAACCCGATACATCTCGTTTGACAGGTCCTTAAGGAGCCTCATTTATCCTTGACTAGCCATCTACCCCGGTTTTGCAGGGATCATGCTGATACTATAGACTACAGAATGTCTTTATATACAACGATCACAGCTTTTTTGTCAGTGCGCAATAACAAACATGTTTTTTTTAGAGGTTACTCTTGAAAGAGCGACATATAATTGGCCCGGTACGACCGCAACCGCTATGTCCGTACATTTTAAATCTTCGAAAATATTCATTCAAACTACATGCTGTAAGGAACCATTCTGATCACATCATGGACAGATAAGATAAAGGTTGTATTGAAGATAATTTATTTTATAAAGGCACCTTTCGTCCTGCGGCTGGCGTCTTACTTGGAATATTAAAAAATGCTTTTTTATTGCACATCTGAAACATAAAATGAACCCACAAACAAAATTTAAGCCTCCGAAAATATAGCGGCACGATGAAAACGTAATTTTTATATGTAAACGCGCTCTTTTTATCCCCACAGGGAACGCCTCAGTTGAAATATTCCAAAATTTTTTCTTATTGCACATCTACAACATGAAATACATAAACCTACATACAAAATTTCAGCCTCCGAAATTATAGCGGTGCGCGCAGAAACAGTGATGGAAAGGTAAAGGTGAACGCGCCCTTTTTACCCCACGGGGGACGCCCCAGTTTGAATATTCAAAAATCGCCTTCTCATTGTACATTAACAACGTAAATCGAACCTACATACAGAATTGCAGCCCTCGAAAATACAGGGTGTAACATAAGAACGTTAAAATATTCGAATGATCTATTCCTGAGAAAATTTTAAGAAAAAAAGTATATATGAACTTGTGTCCGGAAATGCTTCGTTTCGGAGATACGAGCCAAAGTACCAAAAGTTTACTGTCAAAAAAGTTAGAGCAATTTGAAATAAATAATGACAGCGTACACAACGCCCTCTAGATGTTACATGAAAATTAATATCAAATTATGATTTCCCACGTCAAAAAAACCTCGGGTACCGAATTTCATGCAAATAACTTATTTTTTTCGAGGGTTATTTTCAAAAAGCGAACAAAAAAATTCAATTTCAACACCCCTTATCTCCTAAACGAAGCATTTTCGGACACAAGTTCATAATTATATGTAATTTTTATATGTAAACGTTCCTCTTCAACTCCCACGGGGGCGCCCCAGTTAGAATATTCAAAAAGCCCTTCTGAGTTTGCTTTTGAGATCTGAGAAGCACCTATATACCGAATTTCAGCTTTATAGGACTTACCAGTACGGAGAAACTGAGATGAATGTGTGACTGTTAGATCAGTGACTTTCGCATTTCCAAGTAAAGACATAGTATAAAATTCATCTTTATACCTGTCCGAAACCAAGATGGCTGTCGACAGGGTAAATTTTCGTTATCTGGACACCCGGCGATTTTGAAAAAAATTTTGACTGTACTTACGTATTTTGATGCGTAGATTACGAATCCGAAAGAAAAAAGCGGTGCTCTCCCTTATTTAAAAAGTTACGGCCCTTCAAAGTTCAGGGCAACTTTTCAGCCTTATTTTTCAACCGTAACTTTTTAAATAAGGGAGAGCGCCGCTTTTTTCTTTCGGATTCGTAATCTACGCATCAAAATACGTAAGTACAGTCAAAAATTTTTTCATAATCGCCGGGTGTCCGCATAACGAAAATTTACCCTTTCAATATCTCCTATACATTACATTTCAAGATAAACAATAAGCAAATGTAAAAGAATCATCTCAACACCAAAGAACACTCTTTGGTGTTGGGATGATTTTTTCTTACCAGAAGTGCAGTATATAATCCATCTGAATCAGCATTTCTTCTCCCCAATTCTGAAATGGCAGCATGCAATTCGTAAAGAAGAAGACCCTTTATTCTTCTTTCGCCTATAAAACATCGACCAATTTTATTACACCTTAATACTTTATTGTGAGCTAATGATCAGAAATGATCTATGTTAACGGTTCATGTGAAAAATTTGACAAAACTCTTTTTACCGAAACAACAAATAATTTTATAATTGGGTCACTTGAAGGTAATTGGTTTGAGTGAAGACCTTTCTCCGTAATTCCGATATATTTAGACCACAAAGTAAGTAAATGAAACAGGACAGTTGGAAAAGTGAAGATGAAGAAATTGAGCTTCATTCAAAGAGTCGAATATTAGATATTCTTAATTTTTATCAAATTTTCCATTTGTTTTCCGTAAGTTAAGATTTTTCTCCTTTTGTCACCTCAAAGAATGAATGGAACATCAGTAGAAGTTAATTATTTGAAACAATCAGTTATGTAAGATAGAGCTGTCAGTCGACTCCCAACAATTTTTTAGAGTTTATCATTACTCAAATGAGATTTCATTATTTCATTTATCTTTATTTTTATCTTTCAACTATTCAACTCATCACTATTCAACTGCTAACTTCATGAGACAGAAATACCCCCAACTAGTTCACGAAATAAGACACATGAATTACTCATTTCGGCAAATTGGTCAGTAACAATTTCAAAAAAAAAATCATTTACAGTGATGGGGTTGATGACAGTTCAGTCGAACCATCAATTAATGTACTAACTCTCGATGAGCATATTGGGACGGTGACCAGGTGGGTTAACGTGGGTGGTTTTCTTCACTCACTCAATCCACCACTGTGTGAATCGGTGGTTCAAACCACAAGGTCAAACGATCGATTTTCACTTCCTATCGTCCATTCCGTGTAAGGAATCACACGTCAAAGGGTAACATCTTCTTAGTTCTTGGTTCGCACTAGTTCCAACTTTTGAGAGGTGTCGTTCGTAGGGGAGCGACAACTAGTTAACGGAAAAAGAGATTTTAACAGAGATGGGAGACAAAATAGAAATTGATGAATAAATAGATATTTTTTGCGAAACAGATATCTTCAAAAACTGAGAATAAACTCAAACCGGCACATTTCACAAGTTACTGAAAGTGTCGTTATGGAAAAAAGAGATGTCAAAGGAGAAGAGACAAGGAACTGACAAAGAAACTTTGTGTAACCATGTGTAATAAAGAAGTGTCTTTGAATAATTATAATTATGAAGTTATGTTACAATCAGTGCACCATTGTAGTTTACTATGTTTCATGGTACTTGTACCATACAAATGGTATGGTTGGCAACACGGCTCATACGACAAATGATGTGTCAACTGTCAACATATTTTTTAAATTCTATATTCTACTTTCCTGCTTGGGTTTCAACTCAGAGTAATAATAAGACATAGAGTTGCCATGCCTATACCAATACAATACATGTATTTTGAAACGGGTATCGTACTATCCTTTTCTGTACAACTTATGTGCGAGGGGGGTGGCGGGTAATGAGGAGTTATGGAGAGTTTGTTTATATTTGAAGTACGTTGGACCATAAAACAGTGGCGGTTGATTATCGGAGGGATATTATATATTTANTTATGGATAAGTAAATGTAAATATTCATTTTATAAAAAATCGTTAATTGTGGCTGGAAGCTATTTTTACAGTAAATTACCCAAGGTATTGAAAGAAATAAAATCCCTTAGGATTTTCAAACGCAAGCTTCTAATCTATCTAAAAAAAAATCTTCTTAAAATCTACTTTTCCGTTAAATAGCAGAATGCTTCTATGACTTGAATGAATTGGTAAGTTACCTCCAAAAGTGTTAATGTTAACAGGCAAAAGGACTCAATAAAATTTGAATTTGAATGCAAACTATACTGTGAAGCACGTGTACAACCGTTCAGTAAACCGTTTGTGTGAAACTTTTGAATCGGATGAAAAGTTTTCTGAAATCCGTAAAATTGCTGTGTTTGATAAAATATAGAAAACCGTAGTAGAAAATTTTTCCAATGGATGAAAATGAAATACCGTTCAGTTATAATATAGTGCTCAAGTATATAGAATGTGCGGCATCGAAAACGAAACAGATCGAATATTTGCAGGGCACAATTGTTGAGAAGAAAATGCATTAACAGGTCGATTTTCAATTTGAGTAAGATATCTTTCATTACCTCAACTGTAATACTTTTTCTCCGCCCCTTCAGGATCATCACCCTTGAAATTTGAATTCAAAAAATACTTACCGACAGCCATCTTGGTATCGGACAGGTTGGAGCCTGGCAGTGTTGCCAACTGGATGAACTATAAAGTCGCTACACATGAACCAAAATTCCGCTACCCTGCTTCATATTCCGCTACGCTTGTATAAGTGCGCATGTCCCCCATCCAAAATTGAATACTACAGAACTTACTGTTTTGTAGTTTTTGTACCACAAAACTGAACTGTCACTAATGTCAGGAATTAGGATCATGCTAATTTTCAACCGCGCAACTCAGTAGATGGTACCTAAAAAGGAGGACATAGGGGCCTCATTCGACAGAGTGTCGGGGCCTTCTATATCGGGAGGAGTCGTCTACAGTATAATCCATAGCTTCCCTAACTGATAGATTTTCATGAGTTTCTGCGCAATCAAAAACTCGCTGATTCCTCGACTGAATGGACTGCCGAATGGAAGGCAGCTGCAAATCTCTGCGGATGGCTTCATTCCGCAAGAACCAAGGAGCATTCACAATCATCATATTAACTTGTTTTGCAATCTCTCCAGAATGGAGATATTATACGTAGCCGCTTGTTCCCAGATGCCTGAAGCATTCATGATGACAGACTTGAACATCGTATTGTAGATGGTAATTTTGTTCTTGAGGCTCAATTTGGATTTCCTGTTGATCAGAGGGTACAGACTAACTATCCGACCCTCGATCTTTGTTTTAACGCACATGATGTGCGGGTTCCAAGTGAGCCTACGGTCTACTAGAAGACCGAGGTACTTTACCCGCGCTTGCCAGTCGATCTCCCTTCCAGAGATTCTCACTTTTCTGGTCGGAGAAGATTTCAATCTTCCCATGGTTATCGCCTGAGTCTTGTCCGGGTTCACTTGGATCTTCCAATCAAGGTAACAGCGCTCGAGGTCGTCCAATGCACGTTGAACGTAGACGACGCCGAGCTCCCAACCCATGGAAGATGAGAGGGGACCCGTGTCATCGGCGTATAGGGATATCTTCACACGCTCAGGCCTCGGAAGGTCGCTGGTGTAAAGTGAGTACAGCGTGAGAGAGAGCACGGCCCCCTGTGGCACTCCAGCGAAGATCTCTCTGTTGTTGGACAGAGAGCCCTCTAATCTAACCTGAAATGTTCTGTCTTCCAGGAAAGACCCAATCCACTGGATCAGGCCCCGAGGTAGATCGAACGCGATCAATTTGTGCAGAAGACCTTCTTGCCATACACGTTCGAAGGCCTTCGAGATGTCTAGCTGTACAATGTGCACGTTTTTATTAGTGTTCAACTCGTGGATGGTATTTTTGACCAGCCTTAGAGCTTGTAACTCATAGGCAAATCCATCCATGTGACTGTGAGCTAGTATTTTTCCATTTTGGCGCCTTCTTGTGGTAAAAAATTATCATCAAGTAACTAAAGAAATTCTCCCAAATGACAGACAACGCTTCGAAATTTATACTCATGAATAATAGTTAACAGTCAACAAACGTGTTTTGAAGATATTCGATCTTTTTCGTTTTCGGTGTCGCACAGTGTATTGTGATTCTTAAATGTACAAAATGTTAATTCTCACCCGGTGCCAAGGTATCCAGCAATTTCAATAAACTCCGGGTTATCGTCACCTTCTGCTGCAAATCTTCGTCTGGTACCGCTGGTAAGCCCTCGTCTTGTTGTCCTATCATCTGAGCAAGCGCTAACTTCACATCCGTTAGATAATAGTGATTGGGGTGCAGTAATTCCTCATAACTTCGAATGAAGCTTCTGCACTCCCTTTCATCACCCTTGGGCATCTCCGCCAAATCTTTCCCGATCCTTTCGAGTAAATCCTGGGCAGAATAGGATGAAAGTACGATGCTGCACATATTGCAATTCCAGTCTAGGCCTTTATCGTTGGTGCTGTTGTCTATAAATGTTTTTGGAAGAAGGAAACCTTCGCAACCACTGAAAATATAATGCATTTGCAGTTCGTGGCCCCATCCTTTTTCTTGCTTACATAAACGCAATAACACAGATTAATAAGTATAGTGTGTTATGCTGATGATATGGCTGGTGAAAGTTAGGATAAAGTATATTAAACTTCTGAAATTCATCTCGCTGGCTGAATAGTAATTTAATGAGTTTGAATATGAAGAAAAAACAAAATTTATGACTTTTTCACTCAATTCAAATGATCAGCAGCTTATTAATGAACTTAAACTGCACAAAATGACATGCACAAAAATGTTTTCAAAGGACACCTTTGATCACTGTTGTACAACTTTCCTGCGATACAAACATTTATCGAACTTACTTTGTATACATTTTGTCGCATACCTGAAAATATTTCTGTAACTCTTCAAAAATCAATAGTATACAAGAAATCAGCAACATACAAATTAGTCCGAGCTATGACTTAGGAACAGATTGTTGTCCAAATATACTAATGTTCATCGAAAGTCATTTTTTGTGAATGAAAAAATCAGTTTTTTATCGACCTTTTTTTGGGTAATTGTTACCTAAAAAACTGATTTTTTCCTCCACAAAAAATGACTTTCGTTGAATATTTAAGAGAACGGTATGGGCCGCAGTGCGTTAATGATTTCAAGACATTGGAGAACTTAAATCAATAAATCAAAAATGAATATAAATTCAGTAATATTCTTCTGATATTGCTTTTCAAAACAATTTTTTAGGAGTTATACAAACTGAATTTTTCTGAGACAGCAGAATCGTTCTCTCAGAAACTCTAGACCATAAAAGTATAACGATATAATAATGCCAAATCCAGAACAAAAAATATTTCCACTTCTTTCATTCTTAAGAATAGAAAAAATGTCGATAAAATATAGTCTAACTGATCTGATGGGATATGTCAACTCCATTCAGATACATTGCCCTCTTATATATCCATTGAGATCTTATACTTCGTTTTATCAATAGGTCAAATAGTTTTCATTAGGTTTCATTGTGATCATACCAAAAACAATATCCTTTTCATCTTTGTATACAGTGCTTTTCAGATGAAAGTATCCACCTTTAATAACTTTTGTAATACTGGTATTTAGGAAAAATCCAAAAACACGTCAATTTATGTTGGAAGGGGCAAGCATTATGGCTTATTTAAACTTACTGGAAAAGCCACCCCCTCACCCCTAGCATCATCCCT